TAAGACTTTGCCGGATCCAGTGAAAAACACCATCTGCATGCGCGCCTCGACGAGGAGACGGTAGTGGTGCCCTCGGTTCGAAGTGATTCGCTGCAAATTGACAGAAAAATGGAGAAGATAACCGACTTTTGACCAAATTGCTCTAGATTTAAGAACTTTGACCGACCAATTGATCGACTTCCCGGAGGAATTTTTGCTCAAAATTTTAAGGGTAGAACAAGTGAGAGGAGATCTTCGCGATGGTGTAAGAATATTTTAGATCGGACAACTTTTGACGATGGCTGGCGGCGGACGCGGCGACGGACGGCGGAGGCGGCGGCGATTGTTTCAGTGAAGATCGATAGCTGGAGATTCTTCTCATCGAGAGGATTCCGGTGGTATCCTCGGATTTTCTATAGCCCTCCCAGATCGTCGAGAAAATGCCTTTGAATGTCCAATTTTGACCAAATTTTTCTTAGATCTGGAAACTTTGACCGCGAAATTGACGGCCTTCCCGGAGGAATTTTTGCATGAAATTTTAAGGGTAGATTCATCTCGAAGATATCTTTCCAATGATGTAAACGATTTTCCGATCGGAGCACATTTTCTGGCGGTGGTGACGGCAGCCGGTGGAGAAGGAGGTTTTCGAATTTTTTCAGTCAGAACTCCGCTTGACTCTTTTACGGGTCCCACAAACGGCGCCAATGAAGTGAATAAGTTTCACCCGGTCTCCTTCATCTCGAATGGCCTCCGCACCTGCATAACCCAACGCCGGGGGTGGCCCCGGCGTCGGGCCTTCGTTGCCTAAGTCAGTGCTCAGATCAAGAGAGAGAAAGTGTAGTAATGGAATGAGGATAGAATGAGGGAATGAGATACCTTTGCCCCCTTTTATAGGGGGAGTGTACCTTTTGGGCTCAAGTTGGGCTTAGCCCATATGGTTATGTTATATGCCTTACTCCACACCGTGGGCTTTGTTGGTGTTATATACTTAAGCTTTGCTTTAGTGGATATTACACTTGTTATTTCCTGATGAATGAGAAATATGTTTGGTTAAATAAGTTCCACGTTCTGTTGTTTTACATGTAGATAAGTGGGTCGTCA